TGAGCACCACAAAATCTGCTTTTCCCCTGATGCTTTTGGTTATTCTGGAGCTCCTGGCACCACTGGTGACTCAGTGCCACAGTCTCTTTAACAGGTTTTGAAAACTGGCTTATCTTAAATTTTCAGTCTGTTTCAGTTTCCTGAAAGACTGTCATCCTTTGATGTTTTCTCCCTGCATCAGCATCCCACCCTTTTTACCCCGGGCAGCCTTACTCACAGAGAAACCTTCTGGTATTGACTGGCTCTGATGCAACTGCTTTTCTGAAATGGAGATTTGCCAGCGCTGGCCTCAGCCCAGGACTGTGTATTTCGCGTTTCCTCAGAGGACCCATTGCTCTAAATAAAGAAGGACAGATGCAAAGCTTGTTTTGTAAAGCGTGTCAGAAGCTTCTGTTATTGCAAATTGCCTTTTCCACTGGGCATACTTGGATTTTAATTCAGGTGGTTCAATTCACTAATTCATGTGATTGAAATTACTTTTATCAATTATCTTTGAAGGGAGCAATGTACTAGTTCAGTAAAAGCTTTCTAGCTGAAGTGGATTTTTAATTCATTTAAATGGCATACTCATTTATTATCCATATATTGGTTTGCCAGGAGTTATCATAGCAATCTGACCACTTGGTTTGTCATGCTTTCAAAAAGGCTTAATTTTCTTTGCTATCCTTGATTTATCTGCAATATTACCAATATTTCAAAATAAGACCTTAAAGAACTAATTACTGGCTTGAATCTTTGCCCTTTACACTATTGTTTTCATTAGTAGTAAGTACTTTATAACTGCATAGAAGAGCTGATGACGTAAATAAGGTGGGTAAACAAAGGACACCTTACTGAGATAAAGTACTTGTCCAGTATCATAAAAAATATCTGAGAGAGCCCTAAGAATGAAATACCAGCTATTGAATTTCAGTGATGATCTACTTTAGGCTAATTTAAACAAAAATCTTAACGGGGTTTCCCCAAAGAAATCGACATACACAATTCTTATCTAGCCAAGCTTGCCAGGGCGCAAGGGCAGGATTCTCGGAGTTCAGCTGGTGTGAAAGTTGGCAGCTGGGTAAAAGGGAGAAGTACAAATTCTTGCTCCCATGGCAGGCAAGGCTGCAGGGTGGGCTCTGCTGTAAAGGCCGCAGCATGAGTTGCACGCAGCGGGTTTGGGTTTTAAAATGCCCTAATCCTGTCCACAGATTACCACTGTGCTGAAATCCCCTCTGGTTGAAAAGGACTTTTTCATCTATCATTTTGCAGAATTGGAGTTTGGTTAATCTGTAACCTACTTAATGCTATTCTCTTCTTATTTTTTCAGGAAAAAACCAAATTGTTTCCTAGTACCCCAGTGTGACTCTGAACCTGCCAAGTTTCAGCAAAAATAGCAATGGTTGCCATCTAAAATAAAAAAAATACAAAGACAGATTTATTTATTTTCTACTTGTTTATCACTGTGTCTATCTGAAATGGAGCTAAAAGAGACCCTGGTCAAACCGTCTCAGTGACTTTGCTGAGAAGGGGAAGGAATTTGTTGTCCTCCTAGGAAAAACTAGTTATTTTAGTGTTCTCATTTGAAATTAAGGCTGCCATATTACAAAAACAGAGCAATCTTGCAGATATTATACTTTCTTGCAGATAGTAATAACTCCTCTACTTTTGCTTTGGCATTTGATTATTGTTGTTATAATGGTCGATGTTAGTGATTTGTTCATTCTTTGTCTCTAAACATCTTTCATCAGATCGAATCCTTTCCTTAGCTGTACAGGTGTAAATGGGTGTTACTGAGCGCAAGTGAGTACTTGTTTAATTTAGCCCTTTCCCAATGTTAATCCTGACGTTGATGTCAGGTCCATTCTACATCTTAGTGTAAAAAACTGATAGATGATGGAAACACTTCTGTTGTAAGAAATGTGTGTGATAAAATACCCAGGTTTGCCAAAGGCAAATTAAGGTTGACATAACTACCCTTGGCAGTGTTTTCTTAATTACAATTGTCAGCTAACTTTCTTGGTTAACAGCACAGAATTTGGGTGCTTCTAAGTAGCGTTTGTATTCATTCAACTTAAAAAGCTAAAATAGGTTTTTGTCCAGGAAAGGTGTGTCCTTGCTGGTTAATGAATGTGCTGTATATAGTAAAAATTAGATGATAACATCTGTAAAATATGTAGACACCCTTGAAAATACTCATTGTCCTTTAAGCCAGAATTCCATCAGAGTCTTGGCAGGTCTGTTACAAAAAAAAAAAAAAAAAAATTGTTTTTCTTCTCATTCATTCAAGATCAAAACAATAAGAATTCCAAGTTTCTTTTTCTGGTATCAAAGTGAGACTGTCACTACTACAAACATGTTTCCTAATATGTCATTAATTTACCTATTAGTAGGAATCTAACAAGGTAAAGCTATAGAAAGGTGCATCATACAGCTCTTTTTAGATTAAATGGTTCCTAATAATTTTAACTATTGCCTGTACTCCTCAGAGAGAGACTTAGATCCTGATATATTTGTAGTGATGTGTCAAGAATGTAGTCATATGTCAAGAATGACAGCGCCAAGATTTAATTGATAGGAGTTTTTTTTTTTCAATGTCCAAACTGGCTAACAAAACTGTTCATACCTTTGCAGTGTGTTTTCTGCACAGAGGACTTAACCTGTTTTTTCCTAATTATTGCAGACAAGGCCTTAAAAGATCTGGTTCCTCAGAGAGCTGCACATTTGATACGGTAGTGTGCGATATTAGTGGAGTGTTCCTTGGTGTTGTTTAAAGGGATTATTAGGAAGTGAATAAATGGAGAGAATAGCACCAAAAGCTAAATCTGTATTCAAGAAATATTTTGAGTGCTACAATAAAATTAGCTAATGTTTCCAATTGAAAACTGAGATTTGAGTCTTCACACATGATTTTATACGGTGACAGTACCAGTAGAATATAACTGGATTTAATTCTTAGAAAATAGTCAAATAATTATTGGAGGGAACTCATTTTACAGTTTAAATTACTACAAGATTGTATTTGGATACTTTACACAAACAGCAGTATGAAAAGTAACACTAGTGTCCCAAATATCAATTTTTTTTTCTTCAAGAATAATCCTGGCCTACCGGTACACATGCTTGCTGACATCTGTATGCCGTTTTCATTTGACCAGGTTATTGCATCTTTTTGGTTTTGAAGCCTGTTTGAGAAAAGCACCACTTAAAGGCTCCACATTTATTACTCTGTTGTATTTGCTACTTAGAAAAGTAGAAATAGCTTTATTTATGTCTCCTTTCCCTCCTGCCTTTTTTCCTGTTTTGTTGTAACAGCAGCCCTTTGTGCAGTCAGCTGTAGTAGGGACTGACTTGCTCTGCCCCTTGCCATGTCCTGGCGTGATGTGACTGTCCTCCTGCCACTCAGCAAAGGCTTCCTCTCCTTTGCTGGTCCTTTCACCCATGCCAGGATTCCCCAGGCACGAGTAGCATGAGCAACTCTGTGTTGTCCTTGTTACTGTCTTTTCATCTCTGAAACAGGTCAGTTGGCATGTCAACATCTTAAACGTCCTCTGGCTGTAGCTGGATGCAAGAGGACAGATATTAGTGACTGCTGCAGCCGTTCGTATGAGCTCTGAGCAGTTGCAGTTGTGACTGTGGGCTGATGAAAAGAGGGTCCACGTGCAACAGATTTTCCTTCACTTTATTAATTTTTATCATATTGAGGGTATGTTCCTTAAAACTGGGTAGCTGAAGTGTTTCACAGTTACTGTGCAGGATACAACATGAAGAAGAGAAACACAGACTTAACCCAGTGTAGAGCCTTACCAAGTTAACCAACTAGTGCCTCAGCTGTATCTCCCAGTGCGTTTTCTTTACCTTGGATCAAATATTCATGCCTTTGCTGTTCCAGCTCGCAGAGGTCAGCTTGTCTCCCTTCATCATCCTCCTGGATGCTGGCAAAAGGCTGCTGCTCAGTACCCTCCTGTGGTAGCAGTTGCTGTCCCAGATGTGATGTTCCAGGAGAAAGGAATGAGTGGAGCCGCTGTTAACCAAATACGAGTGCATGGCTGGCCTTGAAACAGACAACTATAGAGAACATTTGCAGTGAAAATCACTGCAGGGTGGTTTTCCCTATTTTCTTTCAGATACTGTTTTTTGCAGATGTACAGCTTGACTCATTCCCTCTTGTAAGGCTTTTCACCATGTGGGTCTCCCAGAGCCTAAAGAGCTGCTACAGTTTAATTCCACGCTGAAATGTGCTGTACAGAGGAGGTGACCTTTCAAAGCTGAGATCTAAATCACTTATTTTGCTAAATGGCCATTCATTAAAATCCTCTGCAGCAGTGAACAGTGTTGAACTGTTTTGTTAACTTCACACTGCTCAGGACTCAGCCTTGCTGGATATAGGGATTTTTACTTGCTTTCCCAGCCTGTTGTTAGTCTGACTTCTTTTATCTCAAATGAGGCAAAGTAGAGGATTTCATACTTCCAGCTTTAGATGTGTGTGTATGTGCATAAATATATGTGCATGCGTTGCACAGAAATGTGTTCATCCGCAGTAACAGGTGGTGCTGGCAACACCTGTTCCTGGGGTCACTCAACACTCCAGTATGAAAACCCTAATTTTAGTTGCTTGTAACTTTTGTCAAACTTAAACATTTGGGTTGCATTGTTATGTGCCAGGTGTCTGCCTTAGGCTGATTTGGAGGAGGGGGTGCAGAGAGGAATTTATCACCAAAACTGTTCCTGCCAGTTCAGGGAGTAGAGGCCAGGGCACTAGTTTGCCTGTGCTGAAAACTGAACTATTGCTGGTTGAGATGTTCCAGCAGCTTCCCTCATCCAAAGCCAAAAGTTGCCATTGGAGACCCCTTGCACCTGGGCATGTCTTTTGCCAGCATCATGGAAATACACTGTTTTACTCAGAATGCACCTCTCTGGCTAAATTACGGGCTTGTGAAAATGTTTGTTGACAGCTGCCCACCAGGCTGGCTCCATCGTATGCAATTCCAAACATCCGTTGGTGACTGTTCGGATGCAAGATGCCCGTGAAGCAGCAGAGTAAGCCTTGGAGTGTGAGCATGGAGCAAAGCAGGGACACCGTTCCTCAGAGCAAATGCAAGCAGCTCGGCTTGTGCTTACAGGGCGTGAATAAATAGGAGGGAATGGCTGGCTGGTATCCAGAGGAACTGGTGGTGAAGGAAAGGAGCATTGGGCTGAGAGAGGTAGGATTGAAGGACACAGGGCTTTAAGAACTGCATGAGGAGAAATGCTGAGGAGACAGACCGGTGTGATAGGGCAAATAGACTGAGGAGGGATCGAGCACAGCTCCTGCCAGTCACTGACCACAGGATTTCTGTGGTCCCTGCCTAACCAGCTGAAACATTCCACTGATAATACCTCGCAGCTCCTCAAATGGGTGATTTACAGAGGAATACAACCTACCCTGCTGCCAGTGGCTCCCCTGTTTGAGTGTATACACCTGAACCTACTAATAAACGCTTAGGAGTCTGCATGGTTTCATCTGATTCTGTTTCAGGAGGCAGAGTTGTTCAGTTGACTTCAACATTTTCATTCTTTTTTCTCCTTTTTTTAGTATTTCTTAGCTTTTGCATACTCAAACTGCACTTGAAGGGTTATTATGTGTACATGCAAATCCCCTTGTAAATACTACAGTTGTTTCTTTCTGTATAATCTTTCTTTGGAATTTGTAATACGTTTGGAGCTCACAGTATGCAAAATCACACTAGTCAGTCAGTCATAGATACCACACTCTGTGGTTTTGTCTAGGTTACAAGAACATTTGAACAGACTGCTTATATTATTTTTAAATGTTGTCCTTTCTTGATCACTGTGGGAATTAGAAACAAACTGCCTGCTGCAAAATATTCTGTTTCATATTACTTAGCATTTTCCCTTAAAAATCTGAAGAAATGCCACAGAACCTGATCAAAGTTTAAAGTCAGCTTGTTATTGAATGATGATGATTTTTTTTTTATTATAGGTAAAGCCTCAGCCAAGAAACTGACAAAAAAGGTAAGCAAAATGTTCCTTTCCTTCTTCAAAAGAACGTGCATTCTTTCTGTTACCCAGCAAAAATAGATTTCTCTTTCAAAACTGGCTTTATATTTTCTTGTTTGTGTCTTGGAAGGAGGTAGATGCTGCACTGCTGTGTGTTGCCAAAGCTAAACCAGGACCGACCTTTTTTAGAGAGCTTGGTGATAAAGGTAACGAGCACTTTTGATACTGAAAAATACAACTTGCTTTTTATCTCATTATATGGTATGAATTGAATGTATTTTTAAAGAAGGTTTCATGGATTTGACTTCATCCCTGTCTAGCCAGTAGCTGACTCCTTGGCAAATCTCTCAGTTATGCAAGAGAGAGTAAAGAGGCAGGGCTGGGGAGTGAAAGCCTCCTGAGGTGCAGGAGGAGACATGAAAGAAATCAGAAAGCCTATTTGGAGAAGAGGAAGTGGCTAAAGGGATCTATAAATGCAGCGAAACTAAGAATGAAAATAAAAATTGTATCTATTTATGTAAAGTGGCATCCCTGATTCCAAGAGCAGTTGAACTTATTTCTCCCTGTTCAGGAGCTGGGTGGCCCTTCACAGTACCGACGTGCTTTGGTTTCTTTTCACTCAACATTTCCACCTCATATTGGGCTACATAAAGAGAAAACTCTGAGAGCTGGAATATTGTTTGTGTAACAACAGGGAATTAAAGAACACCGAATAAACATGTCATTAGCATAATTTAATTGAAGGGAGAAAACAAACAAGAGGATCAAGGAAACCAAATAGATAAGTAATTAACCATTTCACGAGTAACAAATACTGAGACGCCCAAACTAATGAGAAGGACTGACAGCATCTGTTCACAAACTTTCTGTATTGTAGCATTCAGCCTGAATCCCCTGTCCTGTGGACGTTTCTGGAAAATAAAGCTACCTTTGCACTGCTGCAGCCCCTTGGCAGGCATGAGCCACACACAGCAGATCCCCGGGCATGGCTGGCAGCTTGTGCGAGAGAGCAGTCCTCGATCTCAGCCTGCAGCGTTTCGCCTGCCCTTCGGCCTCGTAGCCTCTTCTGCATGCAGTTCCTTTCTTGCATCCTTGTGCAGACGTGGAGGGCTCTTCAGCTGGGTACCTTGCTTGTCAGGCCACTCCTGCAGGCCCCAGCATACCCCTGCAGCCCTGAAACATCTCTGAACGAGCTAAGCAATTTTTTCCTGTCCTAGGGAGGTCTGGATTTTGTATTGAATAGTCATTCCTTGACTTTTCAAACTACTAATTATTATGTGCTTTCCCAGAATTGGGTTTAAAGGATTCACAGTCTTTAATTCTTGGATATTCTTTCTCTGTCCCTGCTTTTTTAGGACCTTTCTTTTTCTGGTGGTTGGTGCTGCAAATCTCCAAAGCACTCTGCCTGGGAAAACAGGGAATCCACCGAGAGAAAATGAAAACATAGCAAAGCAGCACATCCCCCTTTCATTGCACCTCTCTCTCCCAGCTGACTGCTGGGCAAAAAGTGGGCTCAGTGAAATGCTCAGCCTGGCATCTTTTGCATTCTGGAAAAGGCACTGATCTCCCCTTGCTTAGGACCATGGGTCCGTATACTCTGTCCTTCAAAGGGAGTTGGAGTGACAGTTGGGAGTAGGAGCTGATGCAGGAACTTTCAGTGCAGTCAGTCATCCATGTGTCTCCACAGCACGGAGTTTTCGCAGGTTTTGGTCATGATGTCTCTTAGTGACTTTGATGCTTTTGCTTTAAGATGCATTGTTATTAAATATGTAAAATGTAAATATTTATGTATTAAAGACTGCTTTTACAAGTACTGGAATAATGAATCTACACCTGTTCCAGTGTTTAGCTGAGATTATTTTAACTACTTTCAGATTGTTATATAAATATCAAGTAGAGGGAAAAATGTCATCAGTCCCGTTTGTAAAACAGAATGCTAGGGAATTCTGCCTTCTAGTGGGCAGTTTTTAAATTCCCATCAAATTTTGTGGGTATTCTTATGATATATTTAGCAATAAAAATATTATACTGTCAGCATTTGCTATGAAGTTCGAGGGTAGAGATTTCCAGGGACGGGTAGGGAAGGTTCATATAGTGTTAAAAAATTACAGTATTTTGCCAATACAAACTGCACATATTGGCTGAAAGTATGCCGAGTCATTCAACGATATGTGAAGCTTTTAGCTTTTAAGATTTGTTTGGACATGAATATAATTTTCTATATTTTTTTTAATTTGTTTCATTACATCTTTTAATTTGAGGAACTTTGTAATGATAAAAAGAAAATTACTGAAATATTTTATTTACTTTATGGATAAGGTAAATTAGCCATTCACTACAGGTACTAAAAGGACAATAAAATTAAAAGAAGAATTTTTATGGAAATGAGTCCACAAGTTAAAAAATCTTAAATTATTTTAGTATAATCAGTCTTCCATAAAATGTGAGAAAGGTTGTTGTGGATTTGCTTTAGGGCACTGAGACATGTTTTAAAGAACAATCAAGACTCCTTTTTTTACATATTTTTATTATTTACCCTTTTATGAATTTCACTATAGTGACTTTTCAAGCAGTTTACGGGTCTGTGTCTTGCCCCTACCATTTCTTGCAAGGTTTATCTTTCCAGCCCTCTGCAATTCAAGTGAATAGAGATATCATGCTTCTCCCCTGAGCCAATAAGCAGCGTGTTGTCTTTAAATTCATCTTTTCTTTACATCCTACCATCGCCATATAAGTTTTGCTGATTCTTTTTGCAAAATTTTGTAAGGTATAATGTTCCCTGTCTACCCACATAGGTAAAACTCTCCAGGCACTCAGCATTTTGTATCTCATTTATTATGATTTTTTTTTCTCTGACTTTAATAAACATAATCTGCCATATTAATATCCTCTTAAATGCTTCGATTAAGATGTTTTTCTTAAGAGTGTACATCTCCTTTTTTGTATCCCAAGACTGGGGTCTCCTTGTTCTGCTTTATCTAGAATAAGCTGCTTGTCTTCACCTTCCAGGCCTTCCCTGGACTATCCCTGTGGAGCATATCCCCAGACAGCCGAGAGGCAGCCTCCCACTTCTCCTTGGCTGCTGATGCTGGCCTTCATCACTGACTGGTTAAATTTTCAGGCAGGGATCTTTGTGTTGATAGTGTTGCAGTCCACAACTGGGAGGTGTGTTCTGTAGAGGGTTGAAAAGTTAATTCCTTGTCTTTCTTTATATTCTTCTGCTGTGACACAAACAAAACAAAATTAGGGAGCAGAAATCTTGATCACTGCTCATCACACTATGTGGTTGATTTCTTTTCCTCACCTATTTGTTTCTATACGGTTTTTTGATCTTGTCTTATTTAGGTATATAATCTAAAAAAATGGGGTAGGAGTTCTTTCTCTGTTTGGTTGGTTTTGAATTTGCAGAAATCTTGGACACTTTGTCTAGGGGCATGATTCCAAGTTTTATTATTATGTAAATGCAATAGGGTTATTGCAATGGCAGTAACCCTAAAACTTGTAAGCAAAACTAGCTCTTTGAGATGAAAGTATTTTCTGTTACGACAATGTATTGTATGACTGTAGACCTGTGGTGATTGACACAATGATGCATGCTGGATAATAGGGAGAATAGCCCTACTTTCATGGACAGAAAATCTGAGATACAGAACCAGGGTGAGTTGGCAACAGGATCAGCATTAGAACTGTCTTTAGCTAAGACTTTTTCTCAGATTTTCAGACTCTTGCATTCAGAAATTTAATACTTCTAAACTCTGATGCTTAAAACTTAAAGTGTTAAGTCACTATCTGAGGTCAAATGCAAATGCTGTTGGCTCTGCATAGTAATTTATCAGAGGTTAATTGTTTATCACTGAAGTTTAAGTGGATTCCTTATCTATCTATTAACTAAATATAAATTATAAAAAATAGTTTATCTTTGCACAGATAGACATGTTTAAACTTCATTATTTTAAGCAGCTTCAGCATTATACAATGTTTAGCTCACAAGTTAAAAGTAGCTCAGTTATTTTGAAAAGTGATTTATAAAAAAGCCCTTTACATTTTTTCTCCAAACATTATGGCAGGGCAGATGGTTCAGATTCTGTTGCTTAACCACCCTCGTTCTGTGGGCTCTATCTTTAGCTTGTACGCTCTATTTTGACGCTATCACATCTTTCTGTTTGTTCAGGCTTTTCACTTAAGGCGGTATTTCAAAGGAAAACACTGGAATTTTCCTTCAAAAGGGGGGGAAAATACTTTCACCTTGTAGAAAGGACATGTTCCTATTTAAAAAAAAAATAGAGAAGCAGGCTCCTCTTGGCATGCGGCCCAGCAGTACTATCAGCACAATCTAGCAGCTTGGCAGCTTTGTGTGTTGCCATGTTCCCCTGGAGAATTAGAGGGAAACTGTTCCCCGCCTTCGCAAGCCTGCCAAAGGATGGAGGGACTTTGATCCTTCAGGGTAACGTTAGAGTAGTTCTCCTCCCAGGTACTAAATGTGACAAAGCACATTTAATTTATTTGCCTTTTATATAAACATTGAATGTTTTCAGTGAGAATCCAAAGATTTAGTGTAGGCCTTTTATTCATACCAAATAAACCTTACTTTCTTGATCAGACATGAACATCGATGAGTCCCTGGATAGGGAATTTTACCTTCAGAGCACTAAAAACAGAAGTAAAAACTTTATTAAATGATGTGGCTTACTTTAATAACTTATTTAATACGATGTTCAACTACATTTTTTGTATTTATAAGATTTGCTCTTTCAAATCTTGATATAAGGTTTTGGAGTTTTTGTGCAAGTCACTTTTTTAACTCTTTGATTTCAGGATTGATCTCCTATGCAGAGTACCTATTTTTGCTGACAATCCTTACGAGTAAGTATTATATATTTAAAATACATATGCATAAATACTCAGCTACTAACAGCTTTCCAGGAACTTTTTCTGATATGTTTTAACTTCTGAATTTCTACATTATAGTAAACCAGAAAGAACTATTGTATGTAGAATAATAAAGCATTAATATAAATGGATATAACTTTAATTGATTACAACTTACTTCCATAGTGTCATCATTGGTCCATAGCAGTACTTCAAAAATCGTTATCCCTGCACTATGGGATCAGAGGGATGAGAGAGACATTGGTCACAGGACCACGTAATAAGGGGAAAAAGAACGGAGGGGGGGAAATAAATAATTTTATCTTCTGGATAGTAGTTTTAGTCATTTTGGAGAATGAGATACTAAAATTGTAGGTCATGCAGTGGTGTAGAAATCTTGTGCCTGAAAGGTTGTTGCCTATTATTCGTGTGTTCAGATATGCAGTGGGTGATATACATAAACAGCAGATGTCCGCAGGGTCTTTTTTTTCTTTTGATTTTTACTTTTCCCCCCCCCCCCCCCCTATTTTCCTTTTGACTTTATTTCCTCCAAGTATTTTGCATGTATTCATGCCCACTCTTTTGCCTCCTTCCTTTATCAGACAGTTTTTAAAAAAATCTATTTGGTACTTGCTTTATCTGCAAACAGCAGGCTTTTTTTGTTTGTGTGTGGATGTGATCTTGGATTTTCTGGGTTTTCTCACCCATACTTACTCCGTGCCATGCTTGTCACCTCCCTATGCTGTTCTGATGAAGTGTAGGTGATGCTGGAAAATTTGAGATGTGTGCAATGAGCTTTAGGGAGTGAGACCCGTAGACGAGTGGTGAAGTGGTCCCCATGCATGTCCATGTAGTAGTCCACGTGCAGTCTTGTTTGACTGGCTTACACAGGTCTAACATTTTAAGCAAGGGACAAACCCAAGCATACTACATCTCATGCTGTCAGTGGATGAGGAAAGGAAAGATGGAAAGTCATTCTTATCCCAGTGGACTGTAGATGCCTGAGCCTCATCACTTCCATGGCTGTGAGGTACGTGACAGGGCTGAAACAAGTTGACAAGTTCTCCTTGCTCTAGAAATCCACTCAGTCACGGTGTAGTAAGAACAAGTAGTGTCAGCCTCCAGAGTCCAGTCTTCACAGACAACGACTGTTGGTACACACCTCTCGCACAGTTTCATAGACCTTTTACAATTTACGTCATTTCTCAGGAGAACTGCATCGATTCCTACTAGGAACTTCAACTGGTACACAGTATCACATAGTATATATATTCATATAACATCTTTACTCTACAAATACACTGTTTCACCAGTAGGAACTGCCCAGTGCAACACACAACTTGAATGTGAATTACACCATATGTTCAAATGCTTTTTAAAATCAGAAATAATAAGAGAGCCTAGCCCAGTTTGAAAGCTGATTTAAAAATATTTGTTGCAACTCAAAGAACAGGTTTGTTTTTTAAAAAGCACAACCATGTTATACCTTCAGGAGAATACCTTAATTAAAGTTGCAGAAATAGATGCCCAAGATTCTATTTCTTTAAAAAATCTGTGGCAGCTGAAAGTAAATTCATGCGGATTTATTGGCTGAAACAATTAGAAGATTGAAGCAGAATCAGGGCAAGTTGTTCCACTTCTCCAGACAATCAGGTAACATTATTTTTCACAGAATTTATATAGGAATGTATTGAACTGCAAAAACAAAGGCGCCTTTTGATGCAGGATAAAAATGCCGTGCTAATGTCGCTGCTTTGGTTACACAGAGGGTTATCATACCGATCGGTTTGAAAGCAAATGTCAACAAGTGTTAGTGCCTTTATCTTTGCCTAACAAGTATTCCATGTCAGTCAGCCCCCAGTTACACAACCTGTCTCTCTCACTAGTGAGAATTAGTGTGAAATTTCTTAAAGCAGCCATTAATATTTGAATGACGACTTCTAAGTCACCAAGAGAGCAAGAGGGAAACAAGAGGAGAGTCACCAGGTTCCCACAGCCCCAGTTCCAGGACACTGCTTACCAGACCACGCTGCCTGTCATACAAAAGCAGCATCTCTAACAACACTAAACTTGAAAATATAATTTTACAGCAGACAAAAGCTTTATTTTGTTCCCTGTGATCCCCTTTTTTCTGTGTGCGTAGTATCATCATTATCTTTTTTCTTCCAGTGCAGTACTGAATTTCATTTCCAGCAATTGGTTAATGGAGCTTCTGGTGAAGCAACCCAGGACCTGAAATTGTCACCGTGACACGAAGCTTCTTTTCAATTAGCCAGTCACACAAGCTGACAGCTTGGTCAGAGTAGGAACGGTTGCAGGGGAAGCACCTAAGTCTAACCTGCATTCACAGCTAAGATGAAACTCTTCTGTTCAGATTTTGGAATTTTGCCTGATTCTGATTAAATACAAATATATCTGAGGTAGTCTCTGAACTATGCTTATTTTACGAACACATACCTTTGGGGTTACATCATACCAGATAAGTATGTCATCTCTGAACAGTATAAGCAGCTTTAGGTCCTACATTTTCAGTAACAACTCTCTTATCTGAAAATTGTGACACAGATGGTATGAATTACTATTAAATACATCAATTACTTTTATTCTCTAAATATGTTATAGGTTAGGCTCTTCTTGCTTTTGCACTAGTAACACAAACATAGCATGTGACATTTCCATGTCAAGGAAGCCAGCCTTGATTATTACAGCCCAGTTGCCAGGGAAGGACTCCACTATGCAGATTGCAATGGTATTTATAAAATATCCCTGCTTCACAGCGTTGATCCTAGACAGTCTGCTGAGACTGTTGGCTACTGAAGATGTAGTTATTTCTAAAACGTAAAAAATAGTACTTTCTTTAACTATCTTGTTATCACTTAAAAGGAATGGGATATTTCTTTAACTTTTTCCATTTGCAGAAAGATGCTATTAAAAAAAAGGCAATACTTAAAACTTTACAGGATGGAACTGGAAGAATATATTTCCAAAAGAAAAACTCTGAAGGCATTAGAATTTTTTAGAGATACTGCTTCACCACCCTCATGAGTCCAAAATTGTTCTTGGCAACATGAGTATATTGTAGAGACAGTAAGTCCATGGTTTTCCTATTAATGCCTGACTTGACTGGGTTGTGGAATTAATTCACCTGCTCCAGAAATTACTGGGATAAGTGCTTGCTACTGCAGTGAACTGTAACTACATTTCAGCGGCATGCTGCTCCTGTGTGGGCTTGCTAATGAGCAAGGCCACCTCCTGTAAGCAAAGTAAGATCAGGAAATTGTGGGAAGGAGCTCAGAACACGCCGTGTTTTTATAGCACCCGCAAGACTCAGAACTCATTACATTTTTTGTGTTGAAAAGAAACATCTACTTGGTGAAGGAAATGCAGGGGAAAATTGTATAAAATTCCTGAAAAATCAGCTTGATGGGAGTCATACAAAACATGCTTTTGTCCAAAATGGCCAGAAAGAGTGGTTTATTACTTCTCAGTAACATTTGAGTACATTGTTTAGGGGGGGAGGCAAAGGGAAGTTAAAAAAGGCCTGGGCTAACACAGCAGGATCAGGAGCTGAGAGAGCTGGCCGCAATTACAAGATCAGTCTGTTTGCTAGGGAAGACTAGGGAAGACTGCAAATACTGGTATACAGTATTGCATGCAAGAGGTACCTGAGGAGTACCTGAGGACTACTGCTCTTTACCACAGTTTGGGAGTAATTATTGGTTTCTCAAGGCACTTTACAGTCTTCCCACTTGAAAAGGAGCTCTAATAAACAAGGCAGAACTAGACTTTAGAAGTGATATGGGATGGTGGGGACATCAATAGAGAATATCTAAGACTAGGACAGGAAAACATACATTATTTTCACAGTCATTGGGTTCACATGGACATTTGTGACTCTACTTAGGCACTGCTGGCATTTCTTTCTTTGACATTGCATTAATTAGCCCTTGAAATGGTAGTAAAAAGGTGTTTAAAATTTTACTTATGCTGGAGGAGGTACATGTGGTTTACTGGAAATATCATGTACATGCATAACAATGCAGAACTGAACCGTAGGCAATACTCCTTTTGCATTAAATTTTAAGTACATGCGCGTGTGTGTTTACAATAAAGTTCTTTCACAATTTGTTGCAGAACCCCAGACTGGATTTCAGATTGCCTTTAAAATGTTGGATACAGATGGCAACGAACAAGTTGAAAAGAAAGAATTCTTTAAGGTACGTGTATTAATATGCATATTAATTTTAAAACATTCAGATAGTTCTGTGGGTTATAGTGGCTAAACGAAGATTCATTAAAATATTCAAGCCTATTTTCAATCCAATCTATGATCATATACTTAACTGAAATACTTTATATGAAAGGAGCACGTACCAAGACATTGGTATGGAAATACTTCTTATATTTGAATCTATTTTTATAAATGTTACCTTTGACTTGTATTTAAAAATCCATTACTGGGAAGGTAAGAATTGGTGTACATCCCTTAATCCCATGAGCTAATTTAAATAATCATCTGGAAAAGTCTTTTATTTTCTCTCTAGAGAACCACAGAATCTAAAACTTATAAAGATGCACCTGTTGATAGAGAAATTACCAAGAATTTATTTACATGTACTTTCATAGCCTTAAACTCTGAATTAATGATAAAGTTAGCATGTTTTGCACTGATAGCCATTTTTTCAGTGAATTGTCTCTTAGCAAGATTACAACTGATAAGTTGTGCTTAAATATATTCTAAAATATTTTTAAATACTTCATGACTTTGTAGTACTATTTAAATTACACTTGAAATTAGACCATTTTCTAAGACAGTGTTCCCAGAAGCACCTGAGTCTGCAGACACCCTGCACTCCCCCTGCACTCATTTGTTGCTACACAAAATCTTTTAAGCTTGAAGAATTTGCTCTATTAAAATGTTAGAATCATAGAATTGTTTTGGTTGGAAAAGGCCTTTAAGACCATAGAGTCCAACTGTCAACCTAACCCTGCCAAGTCTACCCTAAACCATGTCCCTAAGCACCACATCAACTCGTCTCTTAAATACCTCCAGGGATGGTGACTCCAGCACTTCACTGGGCAGCCCGTTCCAACACCTGACCCCCCTTTCAGGGAAGAATTTTTTCCTAGTATCCAGTCTAAACCTCCCCTTGCACAACTTGAGGCCATTTAATGTTGCTGCTGATTAAAAAGAAATCAAATTCTATCTGAAGCCTTAATTTTTAACCTACTAAACCTGGTACAATGCCAGTTAAGTGTTACTAGCGTAACAGTGCCCTGATCACTGAAATATGTCTGTTGTGGCTGTACTGTTCACCTACAAAACCATATGTTACAGGGGAAAGTAGGTCTATGGACACAAGTGGATGTGTCCAGCCTGCAGTGCTTCTGCAGCAAAATGGCATGTTAGCAGTACTTCCTTTAAATCAGTATTGTGTCAGTTAAACAAATAGGGAGATCTGCCAGAAATACAACGCAGTTCTCTTTGGGAGATGTACAGTATGACATATATTTAATCTCCACTACCCTTTTCAGGTAATTGTAATTGAATCGGCCAGTATGAACAACAGAAATTCATCAAATGTAGAGGTGAAAACATGACACAAATCTTTAAAAATAACTTGTTTCCTGTAAAGGCAATCAGATTAAATGGAAATTATTCTAATTAGATTGTTACTTTGCATTTCCTTTATGGGCTGTATTGTTAAATAAATACAGAGAAGTAAAATAAACCCTTTTAAATTGCAGTGTCAACTCACAAGAATCATTGCTTTTAGAGAAGTCCCACAGTGCTTGCTATGCAAGCTACTCAAAAGTTGAGTTTTCTTACATGACTGTTTACGTAACATTTATAAGCAGTGACTGTTTTAAAGTAAAAATTGATTTTTATAGGCTAGGTTTAAAAATAAAATTTTTGGAATGTAAGAATATGAAAAGATGTGTGTGCATTAATCGCTGTATACTCTAGTTTGTATGCATCACAGAAAGCTTCTGTATATCAAATAGATCAGTAAATTGTGTGGCTAATCTGTCTCTTGTCCCAGTTGGCATCTCAGAAAAATAGATCTGAACTCTCCTATTAGTTATTTCCACACTGTATTTGTCAATAATAACAGGAAAAATATGTAAGGAAGGGCAGTGGAAAAGAGAAGCAAAGAAGCAGTAATTAGGAGGCAGTTACTGTAAGCAGCATGGGATGGGAAATTTGGTACTTCATTCTCTTGCTTAGTCACCTCTACTGATTAGACATCTGTGTACGTCTAAGTTATCTGTTGATCTAGACTGTAAATTCTTTGTGGGAAGAACTTTGCCTTTTTGTTTGCAAAATGTCCCTCATTCTTTGAATTGTCTGTATCTCCACTCTTACGTGTTACTGGATAAACAAGCACAACATGTGTCACGTGAATCATTCAGAAAGGGGAGAAGGGTGACAAACAGACTCTGCAACCCAAGTCCTTAGTGCCTGCAGCACGTGATGGAGATAGGCTGTTCAGACCTGTATGGGTCAGACACTGAAGGAGTATCAAATGCAGGATCTCCCAGTAGATTCAGTGCTCTTCACTAAAAAATGAATGTTCAGGAAACGAGATCTTGAATCAAGATTTCCTACAACAAGGCCAAGTGCAAGGTCCAGCACCTGGGTCGGGGCAATCCCACGCACAAGTACAGGCTGGGTGGAGAAGGACTTGGGGGTACTGGTGGATGAAAAGCCCAGAAAGCCATCCTGTATCCTGGGCTGTATCGGAAGTGTGGCCAGCAGGTCGAGGGAGGGGATTCTCCCCCTCTACTCTGCTCTTGTGAAACCCCACCTGGAGTGCTGCGTCCAGCTGTGGAGCCCTCAACATCAGAAGGATATAGACCGGTTGGAGCAAGTCCAGAGGAGGCCACGAAGATGCTCCGAGGGCTGGAGCACCTCTGCTATGGGGACAGGCTGAGAGAGTTGGGCTTGTTCAGCCTGGAGAAGAGAAGGCTCCGGGGAGACCTTATAGCACCTTCCAGTACCTGAAGGGGCCGAAAAGGGACTTTTTACAAGGGCCTGTAGTGACAGGACAAAGGATAACAGGTTTAAATTGAAAGCGTGGAGGTTTAGATTGGATATCAGGAAGAAATTCTTCCTGGAGAGGGTGGTGAAGCACTGGAACAGGTTGCCCAGAGAAGCTGTGGATGCCCCATCCCTGGATGTCTTCAAGGCCAGGCTGGACGAGGCTTTGAGCAACCTGGTCTAGTGGAAGTTGTCCCTGCCCATGGCAGGGGGGTTGGAACTAGATGGTCTTTAAGGTCCCTTCCAACCTAAACCATTCTGTGATTGAATGCAATTCCATGTTTTGAGGGAGATAGTTTATCTTGTCCTCCATCGCCTTTCTGTTTCCGTGCACATTTTCCTCCTTTCCAGTAGGAATTAAAAGTCTGTCCCTTCCCAGGGACAAAATTCTGTTCTTTTTTTTCCCTACTTCTTTGTATTTAACCCAGTCTATTTTTAATTTCTGCTTTATCCGTTTTTCAGTGGTAAACTTTCACAATACAAGAGAAATTTCAGTTTTAGTGCCCAGAATCACAGCCATGTGGTTTTGAGATGGGCACCCTCAATGTTTTGTTGCTTCGGCCTGCAATGCCAGGGTGAAGAAGACATGGTAGAAATGGCGTGTTCACAGATGTTAGCTTCCATCTTTTAATCAGCCCCTGCCAGAGGACAAAGAATTGTTTTTCAGAGACATATTATCTGCATCTTTATGAGGACAGTAAGGTACTTCTGTGAACTCTGCTTTTGCAGAGATGTTCACATGAGACTTGGTGAGGGGGATTTCCAGACGTGCACATAATAACCCATGCACATTAATCTGAGACCTCCCATCAAGAATAAGGCTACTAAAGATCCCAAAATCCCCAGCAAGTGAGGAATTTCCCTAACTCTGTCCTGATGAAAGATTTCTGAGTGAAGTTAATGACAGTTCAAACTGTTGGGATTGGAGGTAGCGTAACTGATAGTACATACAAGAGCTATGTGATTTAGACTTTCTAAATAGACCGTTTCTATACACTTGTCCTGGACAGCAGATAGACAATAAACTCGTAGAGGTTGATCTAGGGCTGAATGAGCCAGCACCAGGCACTGTCAGCACTTGTGGTGGTTTGGTACAGAACACCACTGGAGTTCTGAAACATCCACAAGCACTAACTTAAACAGGAAGATATAAGATTTTTTTTTAAAGACTGACATAGCCTTTCTGCCAGCTCCTGTCTTCTTCAGAAAAGATTACTTTTTCATATGTCTTTAGTAGAGAGGCATCAGTTGTGCGTAATAGGTCTCATTAACTTTGAATTAGCCATTAGTATCTTCCAGTGATGAACAGATATAAATATTAAATACAGATAAATGTCACATGGAACAGTTGAGTATTGGAGTCTGTTTCTCAAGGGCAGAATTATTCTCCCTCTGTGAGTAGTTGCTACACTGTGCTGGAAAAAATCTGCAAACTACTGGAAATAGTTTGAAGCCCTATAAGGATTTATATACAGTGTAAGAAAACAATAAAGTAAATCTTCCAGAACACTCTTAAAAAAAAATGATGCTTTAGTAGTCTCTGCAGGTTTGTTTAAGAGTCATTTAAAAACAAAATCCAAAAGAAAAAAAGAAATCTCTTGTTTGGAAACTATTTGCAGTTGTATTTTTTTTGTGTGAGCAAAAGATGTATTTTTCAGGTTAAAAAACTTGAAATTTTCAGTGAGAATATGGACAAGCAGTTGTTGTTTTATTCAGAGCTCTGTATTGCTATTTTGCCATGGAGAAATTCGTAATGTTTTTACTGTACTAGTCAATTGTTTCATAAGTGATCAAAAATTTTTAAAAAATGGAGAAACTTGGAAGAACTGGTACGGTTTAATTGTCTTATTACAGTACTTATTTTTATAAATACTATTAAGGTATGCCATTTAAAAATAATAATAGAAAGTAACTATTCTGAGGAACTCAAAAACTGAGGCTAAAAAAAAAAAAAGAGGTGAAAAAGAAACAAAAACAAAAGAGGTGAATTAGTCCAAATTTGAAGGCCTTTGGCAATGTGAACAGTTAGCAGTTTTTTCCTACTGACTACTTAGAATCCCAAATTGCTTCTCTGAACAAATAACAAAAAAAATAGTAGAAAATAAAGCCCTAAGAAGTGATTTGAAAACTTCACAAAATAATGGCTGTGCAAATTTGGTAATTGATTTTTTCCCAGTTTTGACGGGCAGGGTGAGGAATCGCTCAGAAACGTTTGAGAAGCAAACCAGCAGCTTCGAAAACCCTGAGCTTTAAAAGCATTTTTCCTAAAATCTCCAAATCCAGAGCGCTCGGTGTTAAGTCTATATCTATATCTGAAATGTACTAAGTCCCTTGCTCTTTCATTTTTGCTGTCCATTTGAGGATTCATGCAAATGTCTGTGAAAGGTAGGTATACCTTGTGCTATGTTAAATCACTCATTCTTGTGGCAGTGTTGACCTCCTAAGCTAAAATACAATCAAAGAAACCTCACAGCTGAGATATGCTTAAGGTGCTGCAAATTAATGCACTTTCTATATTACCTTAAAGCTCTACTTGGGACAGTGGAATTTATGTTTTTTAATGTCCTCTTTGCTAACACATTCAAGATTCATTTATTTTTGGATGGAGGGGAAACTCAAACGACATTCTCCTTAATGCCAGTTCTGAAAATACATTTGTTTATTTAATTAAATTATTCTTTGTTGTTAGTTGTATAGTAGCTCATTTGAACAGGTATGTTTTTCATGTCTAGAAGATCATGTCTGTAGCAGAACTCTGTAGAGCTGTCTCGGAGGACAGCATGAAAATCACAGGATAATTTTTATTTCTCTAATGACCCTTTATGCCATACCCCTGAGTTTCAAAATCTTATGGAGTGAATGCTAAGCTTTACTGCAAGAAAATCTCTAAAAATAGAGTTGCAAGAGATGGATTTATATGCTCTGCTTGGCTGCATTAACCACAGTAGATAAGACATTCCTGGGAAAAAGTGTGCCTGAATAGCAAAATATCCTTAGTTATGTAAACATTTTGTCATGACTACAATAACCTTGCAAAAAACATAGTGACTTCATTCTTTAGAAAATATGAAATTAAGCAAGTGTCTGAAAAAGGAGACTCTTATAAGACCCAATTTGTAATTTTCCTGTATTTTTTTCATGTTTTAACAAACACAGCTACAGAGAATCATTGGGAAGGAAGATGATTTGAAAACATCTGGAGATGAAACAGTATCTCGGGTATGAAACAGATACATTTTTCTTTACAAAAGCATTGTCATGTTTTCAGATACATATGTAAGCATCAGTATTAGTGCATTAATTAAATGAAAGTGAGTGGTTTGTCAGGTACTTGCCAACTGGGAAAGAAAAACATTTGTAATTTCTGTTCTATTTATTAAAATCTCAGAAGAAACTCTTTATTGCCATCTGAGAAAATAAGGCTTTCCAAATACAAATTGATACCTTAAACGTACCTATGTGCTGCTGTTGCAGTAGTATCAGCTTATTCTGAGTTGGTGTGAAATGTAATCGCTGTCATTGAGGTGACAGAGGCAAGGATTACTTTACTTATGTCCACTTCCAGAAAGAAATGGCTGAGATGCAGACCAGAAGAAGCAATTTTAGTGTATCATCTTCCAACTGGATTAGAAGTTTCACTGTATTGCAGACCATTAGCAAATGGCAAATAGAGCTCGTCAGTGGAGGGAGCAGGTAAGTTCCTGCTCCCTTCTGGCTCTTTTCACCTGAATTGCCTGCAATGCTACAGGCTTGGGGACGAGTGTCTGGAAAGCTGCCCGGCAGAAAAGGACCCAGGGCTGTTTGTGGACAGCAGCTGAATATGAGCCAACAGTGTGCCCAGGTGGCCAAGAAGGCCAGTGGCACCCTGGCCAGCATCAAGAATTGTGTGGCCAGCAGGACTAGGGCAGGGATTGTCCCCCTGTACTGGGCACTGGTGAGGCCACACCTTGAATCCTGTGTTCAGTTTTGGGCCCCTCACTACAAGGAAGACACTGAGGTGCTGGAGCGTGTCCATAGAAGGGAACGGAGCTGTGGAAGGGTGTGAAGCACAGGTCCCGTGAGGAGCAGCTGAGGGAGCTGGGGGTGTTCAGCCTGGAGAAGAGGAGGCTCAGGGGAGACCTGAAATAGCCAGCTCCCTGAAAGGAGGTTGTAGAGAGGTGAGTGTTGGTCTCTTCTCCGAAGTGACAAGTGACAGGACAAGAGGAAAGGGCCTCAAATTGTGCCAGGGGAGGTTTAGATTGGATGTTATGAAAAAAGTCTTCACTGAAAGGTTTGTCAGGCATTGAAAGGGGCTGCCCAGGGAGGTGGTTGAGTCACCAACACTGGGGATAATTAAGAGACATGTAGATGTGGTGCTTAGGGATATGGTATATTGATGGATTTGGCAGTTTTAGGTTAATGGTTGGACTCTGTGATCTTAAATGTCTTTTCCAGCCAAAACAACTCTATCATTCTATGGATCCTGCCAGTGTAACCTACCTTCTTCCCTGAGTGGAGTCTTTGGTAGCTGCCATCTCTTCTTCAGTCTGTAGTTAGCACAGAGACAAAATACTCTGTAGCCTGGATGAGATTGAGTGAGACTGAAAACAGAGATCAAGTCCTGAGCATACTCCTCAGAAGGCACTGATGAGCCAGGGCAAAAGGAGGGGAGGCTACAGATGGGTTATCTCTAGCTATTAGATAAGGCACTGCTTACATCAGCAGCACTACTTCTGTTGCATGCTTAAATTGGATAGTGTCGCTGAAGAATATTTTTCTCACCACAAACTTGCTTTCAGTTGTAAACTGAAAGTGGGTAGTCAGGCATGGGCCAGCAAGTGCTCATGTTGGAAGCGTTCAATAAGAAATTTATACAGGGCTCTGCTTTATAAATCTGTCGTGCATCAGCAATTTCTACAAAGAGTTGGTCCAGCTCGTGTTCTTTACTTTTTCACCTGCCTGGGGAAAAAATGGAAGTGGCAGTATTGCTAACACCTTTAGTTTTCACTAGGCATGAACAAAAACTGTCTTCAGATACATAAAGCTTTTGCTCCCTCAGTATGCATCCAGAGTTCTGTTAAGAATTGTTTGACTAACTAACAACCATCTCCTTTCTTGAATCTTTTCATCAGTCACCAGATTAAAATATCTGGGATTAATAGGGTTGTCTGCTCCTCAAAACCAATTTGAATTGAGACTTAACTGCCATGACAGTGAAAGAAAAAGGATCTTTATTCTGCATGAATGCACAGCTGCAGTATAAAATTTCCAGAGAAACTTTGATACAGTTGGACAGATATAGTTATAAACACATAAGCTTATTGGGGGCTAATTAAATGCCTGAGCCCGAATGTCTCTGTTTTGTCTTCAAATTTTGTGTTCAGGATTCTTCATTGAAAAAAATTTCAAGTTATTGTAATCAGAAAATATTATTTAATACAGTTTCTTAGCAGACTATAAATGGAATTATAAAAAGAAGAATTAAACAGCTCTGGGGACTACAGCTATCTTGAAATTCTTCTGGTCTCTTCATTTCGATTTGGCAAGGTCCAAATTATCGCTTCTTCAAATTTTTATTTTCTTTTCTGTCTCTGTCTCTCACAAAAGAAGTTGATTATAAGCAGTGAATCTGACTACACAATGTAGTCATTGCGTATGTTTTTACCCCTTAGTTTTAATAATTATAGCAGTCATAATATTACTTTAAAGCAAAGCAGGTAAAACAAAAATACGTTTTTTAAATTGACTGTCTTCTTTGAAAACTGACACTGCAACAGAAGTTTGATGTTTGGGATGGTTCTTTATTTCCACAACACTTTCACAATTTGCATATGAGTTTACTGTTTTTTCAAAGTATTCCCAGTCTGATACCTGGTGGAAAATCACAGAACCATAGAATGGTTTGGGTTGGAAGGGACTTTAAAGACCATCTAGTTCCAACCCCTCTGCCATGGGCAGGGACACCTTCCACTAGACCAGGTAAGTTAGAAAGGGTAGTTTGCAATTTATTTAGCCACCAGGTATATGCAGGCATGTTCCCTGTCCAGTGTGTAGATAGAAGTCCCAGGCATTCATTTACTGTATGGAGACACAACTTAATACTCACTGAGATGCTGTATTAGGAAAAGAAATAGCAGTTTATTTGCTGTGTTCCCAGGGAACTTGTACCTCTGCCGCTTTTACTGAGACTTTGACTTACATATCTAAAATTCAAAATTTCACCACTTAGTAATGGCCCTTGAATGGGATTGCAGTGGGCTTTGTTATCTAGATAAAGATAATTTGGTTGAGGAATTTTCTTTTTCCGGTACTATAATTGATGGTGGAAGAAAAGTCAACAAAATCTGCCCAGTCTTAACCGACGCAGACTTTTAGGAAGTTCCTTGCTGACTTGTGGAGTAGGCAGCCTGATATACTTAGAGCAGAGGCACGCATGCACACAGTGAAGGAGAGATATGGGCAGACTTACAAGATTGGCAACCTGGTTCTTTCTGACTAGACTGGAGAAAATGGTGCAGAAGCCAGCAGAGGCATTGACTGTCCCACCCATCATCCCAAAGGCCAAAGGAAATGCTGCACCTGGCTTCCGAGCACTTCTGCTTCCCATGAGGCAGCCAGCTGAGCATTTGGCCATGCTTCACAAAGGGGAGTGGTATAGGAAACTGCATGAGCCAGCTTGGTGTATTTTGAAAGAGGTGTTGCCCAGTGAACAGCACTTCTTGCTTTTGCATTAATGCCCCGAGTTCCTTAAAAGGATACTCCAATAGCGATACGTGCGTTCGCATTCTGGTGGTGAAAACAATGCTAATGGTTGCAGATACCTGCTGTACAGCCCCGTCGTCTAGATCAGGGACTTTGCTCTTGGGCCCTTCAATTTAGATTAATGAGTTATCAAGTAGTTTCAATACCTCTAGTTTAATATGCTTTGTGCAATGGCTAAACTTAGAAATTAATTTTAGCTATTGTTAGGAATGACAGTACAGAATGTTCCATATTTGTTCCTAAAATGGAATTCATGTTGGGAAATAATATGTGCATTATCTCATTTCCAAAGGATTAAACGCATGCTTCTGGATTCCATAATGAGCGCATTTTCATACAAACTGTCTCATTTACATGTTTTTTTTTAAACATTTAACTAGTACTTGGGGATGTGGCTATTAATCTCTTTTAAACAGAAAACTTTTGAACTAAAATTCAGTCTGAGTATAAGCAGTATACTTTTAGACCCACACATGGATATTTACCTGTTTATTGTGTATCAGTTGTTTTAACCTTTCTACTTGTCTTTTTTTTTTTTTTTTGGTCCTAAGAGAGGTGAATGACATTAGTCATCACACATTTATCCTCATATCAGCACAAGGTTTTACACTTGGACCTTCAGCTATTGCAGCATTGCAATGCATCTCCTCAGCCACAGAGACAGACTATGCAGGCTGTCGTAACCTGCCCATCTGCTCCCTAGAATTTCTAATTAGTTTTAAAGTTTTCTATCCACAGCTTCCACGTCTGCAGAGCCCTGGGTCCAGAATAATTAAACGCTGTCTGAACTGAAGGGAGGAAGATGGTAGGTGAGAGCTGTGCTCTTCTAGTGCAGTAATACTCTGTAACAGGGGTGCAGCTCATCGAATTTTGCAAGAATCTGGTCCAAGACTAAAATTAATATCCCTCCCCAAAAGACTGTGTCATTAATCTTGTCTCCTCTCAGTGCAGATGGAATGCACATTTTTTCTTGACTCGATCTTCTCCAACATAAACATGTATTTTTTTAATCAGCAGATTAACATTGAATTCTGTTGAAAAGCTTTTAGATACTTTAAATCAAGGAATACTGCAATGTTCCTGCATACTTTAAAGGCAGCTCTCCAGGCAGGTAAACCCCATGAAGAACCAAGCTGTGTGGCATCAAAATGCTAAGTTCTTAAAACCTGCTGGGTCACCTCACAGAGAATGAAATTACTTTATTTTTCCATGTGATCATTATAACCTCAAAAGAGACAAAGAAATACGCTTTCAGATGTCTTTCTAGGTACCTATTCTGCGAGTGCATTGAATTTGGCTCAGACAGCAAAAGTGTCTCCCACGAGGAATTCATCTGGAAGCCCGTCATGATCACAGTAGCATTGCTTTCTGTTGCGCGGATGTGTGGGGCAAGACTACCCCTTTAGCCTCTGCTACTTAACCTAGTGTGAAGCATTTTGATTTCTGTAGCTGCAGAAGCCAGACAGCAGTGTGGGTTCCTGACAGGCCAGGGAAGACACACCGTTTGGCTTTGCACTAACAGCTCTAGTCCTTGAATCCAAAGACTACGAATCTGGTCATAATCTCTGAAGGCGAACTGGTGCCTTGCTTGTAAAATTAGTGGGAATGAACTGGAAATGGCACATGTAAGCAGGCTCAGTTGGTGTTTTTTGATATCGAAAACTTGGGATGGCAGCCCAGACATGGACTGCATGGGGACATGTTCGGACAAGGGGTGGGGAATTGGTCACAGCCCATCTGGATCTCCCCCTTGCACCAAGAGCAGGGGGAGAATAGGTGTGCTCTGTCTTTGAGGCCAAGTCCACACTAATCGAAAGAGCATCACTGAGCATCAAACCTCCTGAGAGGGGTCCGTGTTACAGATTCTCTACTTTTGGTAGACATTAATATTTTTAAAATAATATGGCATGGCAGGAAGGCAAGGCCTGAATTCTTGGGAGTGACTCTCCCCAACTGTATAGAGAAGCTGCTCTTCCCATCTGCCAGCATCGCACTGGTCAGGCAGTCTCAGGCTTCGCGTTGCAACAGGGCCGTTCCCTGACTGCTTGACACAGCAGGATCTGGTCCCTCCCAACCTGCTGGTGTCAAGACGAGTTTGTCACCACCAAAAAATTCCTATTTTTGTCATAAAATATCTCCTTCAGTGTCTGCTCCCAGGTTAGCTTTAGCCCACTTGGCTGGAAACCGTTTGTATTCTGTACCTCCTCTTGAATGCATGCATCGCTGTGGGTGACGCACTGAAAGCTGAGGATGTCCATGAAGTTACATCTCCTTCCTTTCTGGAGGCACTGATGGTACAGTGTAGCATTCCGTGGCATTAGTTTTCATTAAAAAGCAGCTGATCCCCAGGTAATGGCAATGCTGGATGTTGCTGAATGCTGGATATATGCTTTTTATTCCTTAGAAAATGCTGCATTGGTTTTCTTCTCAGATATTTTCTGTTACACCCTCTGTAGAAGAAAAATCTGCACCCTGTCTGTATGAGACCCAATGTGTTCTTGAATCCTAACTCTTAAGAAAGTGCCTTGCAAAACATGAAAAACTTTCAGATGGATGAACATGATTAAAGCTGATTCATCTTAAAATGATGTATTGTTCATTCTGGCACCCACTCGAGGCTGGCTGGGCTTTGCCAAAAAAGACTGCTTTTGGAGATCTGCATCTCCTGGTCCCACCAACTTGCCTGTTCACAGTTCTTTTGACTGCCTATACCTGGCAGGATTCATTTCATAGTGGGTACATCTTTTAAACCTTCTTCCTACAACTGAGTTGTAGTATATATCCGAACATCTCGGAGACTCTCAAAATGACCGAGAGCTGGATGCTCTTGAGCAGCGTTTGAGGCTAGGCTGCTTAGATTGAAGTCTAGATGGCCTCCAGGGATAGAAGCCTGGCACAATGAATTGAGTGACCTAGCAGCTACAACACAAAGAGCATTTTGGTTAAGTGGACTCAGAAAAATTTGCAAAGATTTAGTCTTACATTTCTAAAGATTTGGGACATCATTAGTGCACAGAAACTAAGATACTGTTCTCCTTGACACTCCTCTTTTTTCTGCCCCCGTTCTTCATCTATTCACTCTCATTCTATCTTAACCAAAAAAATTCTCAATCCAAATATGTAATATTTTTACAATTTCTACTGAAAGAATACATTGCACAGCAAATACCATCTCCCAGGAAGCAAGTAAGAGAACAAGGAACATACTACAGATTTTAATCATGATGAATGCTTTCCGGTCATGCCTCAGGCAAATTCTGCAATGAAAGGTGGTAAGAATCTAGAGACAGTAAGTCTATTAACATTTCAGATGAGTTTTGAAAATCAGTTAGGTACATTATTCTGAAAATCCTGTCTCCCAGTGCGATAAGTTGCTTCTCAGTGGCACTTGTTGCTACTTGCTGCAGTATCAGGTCCTAAATGTCAGAAGCTCAGTGGGGAGCTGCAGGATTAGCTGGGTCGTGCCTGTGACTCAGTGTTTGCGGCATCAGACTTCTATGTTAACATTCTGTGTAATAAGGAATAAATGTTGTGTTATCTGATTGATCTTGCTTAAAAAGGAATAATTGCATAATTCAGCAGTTCGTGGTGCGAGGTGTACGAGGTGTTAATACTACTCTAGGAGAGTAAGCCTATGTTTGTACTACGTACACACACGTTCATCCGTTGATAGAGACTTGTGTGTCATCAGAGCTTGGTCTTGGGGATTCTTTGTCTGAGTCAATGGCCCTGGAACATGTCTGAGTTCCCCAGCTGAGATACATGTCCCTACCCCATCCCATGCTGTATCCAGATGAGACTCAGAACATCAACATTCTCTCTCCACTCTGTGCCTCAGCTTTCTCCAAAGCACCAGCCCAGAAGGGTGCTGAGGTGCACCCCCCCAGGGCTGAAACCACCAGATATACCAAACTTCCACTCAATTTAGGTAGTACCTCTCTGACTCAAAGCTACCAGTCTGGTCCTTTTTAGAGCTCCAGGGTTAGGTTACCATTTCATTCTCATTGCCAAGAGAGACATTGCAAATATAAGTTATTTTTTTGCCTAAGCTCAGGAGGGTGAGGTGCTGGAAATATTAATAGAGCTCTCATTATCTTCTAACAAAGATTTGTCATGTCGGTACTAATTTATACAGTTCAGCAGCAAAAGCTCCTAATGATTCCGTGGACAAAAAGGAATTATGTACTGACATGTACTTTAATTTAATAGCATTAACTCTAGGAAAAGCAATTTTTTGAAATTTTACCCTTAAGCTGTAGTCTCTGTGGTCTCCTATTGCATATTCTCTTTTAAAGAAATGTACTGTTTTGTAGTTTTAAAATACATTTACCTCTCACTAACATAGTGTTTGGACAACTGCCAATTCCAGTTTGGAATTTCAACTGATAAAGAGGGTAGCCAACAAGTAGGAGCATATTTGTTATAAATCCAGGGATAGACTTTGTCATATTAGGTAAGATGAGATAGGTATTGTTTGTATGTCTTTTTCTAGCTTTTAACTAGAGAGAAACATGAATAGAAGAAAAAAACATTTTATGTCACAGACTTAGTCTTTAAAAGTTTATTTTAAACCTCATTTTTCTGTTTGTTTTCAGTACAGCACTGATTTTTAATATGGAGTAATTAAATTGGAAGCCTTGCGTTGCATATTCATGAGTTCGGTTTTAAAAGTTACATGAGTAAAGTTATTTCTTGCCTTTTTCAAGTCTCCTTTAAACATGCAGAAAGCAGATTAGAATCTCGCTGCAGTGAGAAATATGTGGATTCTTCTCTGTTTCTCTTCAGAAAACTTTGCATTCTGACACAAATAGTTGAGTTTGAATTTCAAATAAGCATATATGAATGTTTGACTTTTGACTTTCAAAAAAGAATATACCAATGTTTATGCATCAGTCTTCACAGTAATCTGAAGTGTTTAAACTTTAGAAGGATGGATCTTGTGGGTATTTAAATATTCTTTGCCTGCAGTTAAATGATAAAAGTTCAATAAGTACAGTTTGCATATGGCTTGAAAAGGTTTTTTTCTAGGTTCAGTCATACATAACTTGTATCACTGGCATTCAGTGAATTGTAGCTTGCAGTAGAAATGAGGAATGTTACCTCTTTAACTATAAAATAGCTGTGTCACATATGCAGTAAGCATGAAACACACAGTGGACTAATGGGACTTGTTATTGATGATGCTGAAAGCTAAATAACCATTAGTATTAAATCTTATGAATAGACTCTTGTCTTTCATCTTACCTCTTCAACCAGATAAAAGACACAGAGGCTATTTAGATGTCATAAGAATAGTTTGTTGAAATCCCTCCAGACTTACCAAAAAACCCTCTCTTCATGTTGCTTAGTGTTTTGTTGCATTCAAAGAAATGCCAGTATGCTAGTGCTGAAAGAAGAATAGAACAGAAATCCAGCATTACGTGTGGTTTTAGGCTTGTTCAAGATGCTGTTGCGTTGAAATAACGTGCATCTTTTTTCTGCAGAGATCTCTTCATCAGATTTAAAAATACATAGAAAGGCCACTAACACTGAAAAATTTGCAAGAAGCCTTGCGAGACCATATTATATTAGAGTCCTGCGAATGCCTGTATTTTTCTAGTTTCATTTCTTAGGCTGCCATGAATGTTTTTAAAGGGCTGTAACAAATCAGAAATACCTGACCAAAAACTTTTTTTAGAAAGATGTTAACTTTTTTAAAGCCTCTATTCACCTCTGCATGAAGGTTTTTAAAGGTTAAGTAACAACCTTCTCAGTTCTAATAGTAAAACGCACCAAAGGTGGTTGTAAATTGTACTTGTCTTTCATACAGAATATTTAGAAGCAGAAAATGTAATACACTGTTATCTCTTGATGTGGAAGAATTATTCAGCTCTGAGATCCTGTGCAATAGCTTGGGGAACAGTAAATTGCAAGTATCTCCTGTGAAATTCCAGTTCAAATAAATATTTCCAGATTTGTGGTGAATAGATATTAATAATCATACAATGCATAGTAATTTCTCACACAGTTTTTGTTTTTTAGGGAGCAGAACTGGAAAGCTGTGGTGTTAATACCACGTTGCTGGTACATTTCTTTGGAAAAGAAGGAAAGGAAAAGCTTCGCTATTCTGAGTTTTTCAGGTATTTTTTCAGTTAGGCAAACCTAACAGCAACCAGTCCTGTTCCTACCCCCTCTACTTTGCACCAACATTGGCATTAATCTGACCCCACACTGAGCTGATTCAGAAAGTTAAGCAGGTAATGAAGCAGGAGATTATTCATGATTTTGCACAATTAAATTTCTAGTTTAGCTCCTGGGGTCTGCTGTCTGTGGGAGGAGTTGTGCACCGTATCTCTGAAGCCGCAGTGGGCCTGGAGGTCGTGGGGGTTGACACTACCATTCTTAGCAGCTGTGTGATGGCGTACCTTAAAGACAGCATGATTCACAAGTATTTTTCTTGATCAAATCGCCAAAGAAGTGACTGCTAATCAATTAAAAAAGCTTTTCTGAGCTGAGACACCCACCTCTCCATGGCAACTGTCATGGTAGGCTACAGGCAACTTCTCTGCTTGCTTCAAATTCCAGCTGCTGTTGAAACTTTACCCATGCCTTTTCCTTTACCCTTGGAACTACTTTTGCAATGGGACTATGCGGATACTTCAGGGCACTTATGTCAGAACTGAGAACTGAGGCAGATGATGAACTCCACATCAGACTGAAACTGCAGTGGAATACCAAGTGGCCATGACTCCCAGAAACGTAGCACTGTATACTCATCTATTTCACTGTAAGCTTTGCAAAATCAGGAGTTAATAGAAAGTTCTAAGACTGGTGCAGGGAATCATTCCATTTGTATGTCATATACATGTCAGAAAGATGGTGTAATCCTTGTCAGCAGCAGAGTATGGAGTTCTGCTGTGGTTGCTTTCAACTTGAAAACCCAACTGGGTATCAGCTGTTAGCGGTTTAATTGCACGAGATTCTTTCTTCCAATGTTTATTTCACTCAGTAACGATGACCACCACCTACACAGCTTTACAACTACTCTGGTTAAAACTCTGTTACTTGGGAGATCAGTTTCCACTGGTAGTATAAACTCCAGACACATCTTGCTTTGTGAACTTGTGCGCAGAATCCAAATGCACAGTCTTTCGTAGAGATAAATGGCAGTTAAGTGCCTAAATACCTCAGTGAATCTTGACACGTCTTGTAGCAGAACATCAAGAGAACGTTATCTACATCAGTACTACCTTTTCTACAAAAATCATCAGTCATTTACAGACTGCAAAAATAAATTGGGATATTTTACTTCAGTTTATGTTCAGAAGCAGAGAACCTGTGTCAGCTCTCTTTTAAATGAATATTGTTCCAATCAGTAGAGGTTTGGGGAAAGCCAGAGTTAAAAAAGGATGAGTGGTAATTTTTCTGACACTTTAAAAAGTGTTTGGCTCCACTGATTCTGGGACACACAGGTCTTCAATAAACAGTCTTTCTCTTTTCAAGACCTCGACTCAATAGGAATCTAAATGAGTAAAATAAGTTTAAGATGCCTCCCTTTTCTATAAATACCATAGATCCTCTCAATGAAACAAAAGGCAGAGAGCACCAGTAAAAGGTTGTGTTTGCATATACAGTGTAAGCTGAAAAGCCTCAGGTTTTAGATAAGATCCTACACTGACCCAATGAGGCATGACATTGATGAAACTATGTACCTAGTACTTTCAGAACGTGTAGGTTAAAAGACCTTTGCCTACCACACAGATAGAGGCCTGTAATCAGAATCAAACTCCCACACCTTGCTCTTAAAATCTGTGGGATAAGTGTAAGGTCTAATGCAGGTAATTTTTCAACAGTGGCAGTTAGGTTTCATAGAGCTGGAATGTGCCTCTTTATCACTGCGTAGACACTCCATCTCAGTTGCAACATGACAGTGAAGTTTGTTTAACACACAGAAAAGTGAATAAAAGGATCACTGTCTTTTTAACCTGTGTGAAGATATCACCTTTCACATGATTTTATTTGCAAGTAAATCAAGCACATCATTTCTGGGTTTCTATTGTTCAGAGAAAATGTGATTTCTATCTGATGGCCTCTCATAACATTTTGCCTTACGCGGGAAGCTATTGTTGGCTGTTTGATCAAAGTGCCATGCTGTTTTTACAAGAGATGACTGATGAGCCGTGCAGACATAGATCACTGTCAAAAGCAGAAAATAATGATGGTAAATGCTTTTATCATTTTCCAAGTTCTTGCCTAGAAAGCTTTTCCATTGATCAGTGCAGTGCCTAGTAGAAAGTAGGGGTGATTAGGTTTGATTAGGACATACTAAAACTTGTCACATTAGTTAAACACACAGATACTACTGTGCTGTAGTGTCCTTGTAACTAAAAAAATTAAAACAGGCAGGAATTCTTTCTCTGTGAGTTTTCACTGTACTTACATGGGAATTCAGAAAGCTGAGACTAGCGTTCTCACCTCATTACATACATATATTTTCCTCATGCATCCTCCTTTTCAGTTTGGCTGACATTAAAAAAATCCTTTTGTAAGTGTGCACCCATCTCTGTCTACATGTACACCAGTGGTGTCTGAACCTTTTAGTCCACAGTCCAAGCTGTCAGGCAGACACCGTCAATATATCAGGGCAATTAATTTGCTCTGTGCCCCTTTCTTTGCATTCAGATGGCACAAAGAAAATGGAAACTGTCAGCATCTCTTCAGGCAACGTGGAGCTGATGTTAGCCAGCTCTTCTGCCTCCCTTCCCTCTGCCCCAAACACGGGAGGCACACTGGTTATAGGGAGGGAAAATGGTTAACCACGCTGTGTTCCATCTGTCTCCAGCTGGTGCGTGATTCTTGGGAAATCATAGGTAGGTGATACGCACAATGGGAGTCCTCAGGCTATTTTTTACAGGACATAAAGAATAAGACCATGAAGCAGAATACCAGGTCACTTTTTGACCTTTCTTGGCCTGCTGGGAGCGTGGAAGAGAAGAAGTAACTTTTTCGAAAGTATTTTGTGACACCAGCCCAGCTCTCTCCTCACTGTCCTCCAGAACATAGTCACAACAGCCACCAAAGCTGCTCCTTTTCACGCTCTGCTGAACACCACTGGTGGGACTCCAGCTGCGCTCTGCAGCTTTTCCTGGGACTGCTCAAAAGCAGTGGAAGCAATCCAGGAGGCACACCATCCTGTGTATTTCCCATAGTAATAAGGTGGTTTCAAGGATCTGAAAGAAGGTAGGACTCAAGGAACCCATGTTCCGCTCTAGTCTGCTACATGATTTCTTGCCAGTGGTATTGTCCTTAACAGAAGGACAATATGATAATTATTAATAATAATTCACAGCTTCAAAAGCAACAGCTTGTTTCCCTGGCAAAAGTTAGGGCATTTAAATCTAATTTCCTCTGCAGGATGCTTAGGTACGTGACTAGGGAAGGCGTCACCTCTAGTCAAACCTAGCTGGAATCCTTATTCTCCTGTATCAGTTTAAGAAAATATAAAACAGTGTGCAGCAAGCCTAAAAACCATGTAACAGAGGACGATACATTTAATACAAGATGCTGTAACAAGGTGAGACCTTCTTCTCAGAAGACCCAAACAAGCTTCTGCTTCAGCTGACCACCGCTCAGTTTTACACCTCAACAGCAACGTTCACTACGAGGACCCATCTTAGAGAATGTCACGTTTCAAACATGAAGCCAGAATTTCTCTGGGATTCCAAGCTTTTCGTTCTTTCGCAAGGGTTTTCTCTGGTTTTTGAGACATAAAAAATTTGGGGTCTTTTCCTTCCAAAGATTGTTTCACTTGTGCTTTAATTTCCAGCTCTATTGTATGCACTATTTTTTATTCTGAGTAGAAAACGATTTAGATTTCTTGGTGCAGCAAATATTTTTTCTTGACAGCTACTGAGTTCTTTCCCTGAAAAAAGTCCCTTACTGATCTTGTTTAAGTATGTCTAATCCCAAATAAAAGAGGAGACAGTAATTCACTCCCTTAACAGTTTACAACTGCTATGATTTTTTTTCTGTAATCTGTCCCCAAGCTAACTTAAATCTCTCACAATCTTCTTGAAGGGGAAAAAAAGGAAAAAGTTCAGAGAGTACGGAAATAATATTCCGAAAAACTTTCTGATTGTTTTTTTTTTTTCCTGGGATGGCTTGCAAAAAAGTACTTCCCGGTACAGTCAAACAATGGGCATCTTTAATCATATAAGAAAAATTAACATTTCAAATACAGTTTGTGGCATTTTATTATTTAATTTGTTGCTTCCAAAATTCTTACTAGTTAATAGAATTTTGCACCAGAAATATTATTTAATTGTGGTTTCTTTTTTATTTTCTGCGTTTGCTTGAAGGTCACAAATTGTATAAACATGCACAAAACACGCCTTTTCCCTACCTGTCCTGTGTTTTCCTTCCATATTTTGAATTCCTTGGTACTTTTCATTTGAAACCTTTCATTCTGGAAACCAGAATGAGCCAGGCTGAACCACACTGCTAGTGCTCACTTTTTTCTGGTGCTGTTCTGTGTCTGTGCCAGTGCCAGGATGCAGAATCTCTTTCATGTCGCATCATCAGGCGATAGCGCTTCTGCTGTGATGATGACTTGTATATTTTCAGTGATTTTCATCCAGATATTTGGAAGTACTTTGCAGAAAGAGAGTATGATTGCCTCCTTACTTGTCTCTGTGTGTGTGTATATGTATATAGAGCCATAACACACGTAGAGATTACGTGTTGTGTGAACCAGGATCAGACAGAAGTGGAAATGGGAACAAAATCTGGCTTCATGATTGTATATTCCTATCATAACTGAATCTATCCCACATACTTAGTAAAGCTGTTGAGAATAATCTCTGTCTTCCTTTCCTATATACTTAGCAAAGGAATAGCTTGATTCGTTTTTACAGAACGCTTATGTATGAAAGTGAGTGGTTTGGTTTGGAAACACTGAGGAAAGTGAATCAAAGAGGGTTTTGCCTCTGATTCTAAAAATGGGGAGATAGATTAAATGTCCTACTGCTTGCAAAACTGAATTTGCAAGCATAGATTTAAATCTCTAAAAGTTAGTGGTCAAAAGTTAGTGGTCAGCCCTCGTTAGATTTTCTGTATGCTATTTTGAAAGATTGCAAAAAGGCAACCTTGCAGCTAGTTTCCGATGGTCTGTTTGTGCAGAAAGGGTTGTCAAGTCTTCCGAAGGACTTCAGAGTCCAAAGGGGAGCCAAAGCAGAACACAGATGCTGGGGTGGTATATCCACCACTATCTTCTTTGTTAAGTTTCCTTCCTATAAATCAGTGCAACAAGAACTAGTCAGTTCTGTACTAGAGTGTTGAAGCTCTGCACAGACTTTGAGGTCAGGTCAAGAGGTAACGAAGGAAAACTTTCCCTAACCTTTCCTTTTGTGTTTCATTCCACTGCTTTGTGTGCCGTAAGGAATACGCTAACACTTCATTGCAACATCTCGGGTTGGAGGGGGAATTGCTGCATTCCTGAGGTCTCCCCACTTTTATTACATTTTCACGTCTATTAAAGCTGAGTTGCCAAGAAGTCGTGAGAGACTCCCTCTTTCTATAGTAGAGCACATTACAAAATGAGGGATAAATCCTGATAAGGTTTCTGGATAGTGTTGTAACTTGATAACGAATTTGGCCATTGGCCTTCAACGTGGGTGTTTTAGATAGTGTCGATAAAACAGGCTATCTTAATGAAAGCACTGTCTGTCCCATCCTTTTCCCCATCTTATAAATTTATGATTTACCTTTCCTTTTTGTTATTTGGAAACCTAGGGCTTGCTTTTATTTTCAAAATACTATAGCATAAGGTATTCCCAGTGTAATTATTTTTGAATTGTAGAACACATCTACGCTTAGAATCCTGTTCCTGTAGTTGAATTCTGGATCCTTTCAAAGTCCCTGGCCAAGCTCCCACTGACTTTGGGAGATCAGGAATTTCATTCCTATGCTTGTTTTTCCCAATATCTGTAGAAGTTTTTAGGGAATTTCCAGCTGAAACTCATCGCACCATGATCCAGAAGATAGAAAAGCAAGTATCCCTAGTGGTGTCTTGGCATTTAAGTATCAAGTTTTACTTCCTAACTAGAAAGTTATTTTTAATAACTTTTAATAACTTTCACTTAAAAAAAAAAAAAACCTCATTAGGATTTTTAACTCTCACATCTGGGAATAAGAGTGACCTAGAATGCTGATGCGATGATTCATAGTATTTTAATTTTTGTAATATGGGAGACTATCACATATAAATTTTAAATTACACATTGGAGCTGCTGCTCCAAGTAGCATTTGGTATGGCAGGAAATCTTCCCACTCTGGCTTGCCAGGAGTAAGCCTACAAGTTGAAATGAAATACCTGTTATTTTTTTTGTCCCTAAATAAGTAATTCCCACTCCCCTCCCTAATCTGTGTAGTGCTGCACGGCTGTTGTTCCCCAGGAAGGGTGCAGTGTCGTTGCCCCAGAGCATCTGGAGAGGGCAAGAATCCAGGGCTGAGAAAAGGCAGTGGGAAACCCACAGCGGGGCTGGGGAAATAGAATGCTTCATTCGCTCTCCAGCGGGAAGAGGGTGCAGAAGCAAGCGCATGCCAAAAATGTCATGGACAAACTTTCCTGCTGGGCTGGGTGGGCCATCCACTCCTTCACAGCCTGTGTAGGAGTGCTTGGCCTCTCAGCTGTCCTGCCTGCATTGGATATGGCTAGAGGGCAGGTCACTGAGGGTTTGCTGCTCAAGGAAAGGCAATGTTTAGAAAAGATGGAAGAATATGTAGTTTGTCATCACCTGTGGCTACCGACCAGTAGAGCAAATGACTGAGCTCCCCAAAATCATACGTACTTTCAACAACAGACCTTAAGTCTGTTGCAGAATGTGTCCACCTTTCATAGATTAAAAGCCAAGAAAATAAAACACCTGGTATTTCATTTCCATACATTCACGTTTTAGGCGTATTTCTGAAAGTGACCTCGTTTCCAGCAGCATCTCCTCCCCCAAACCAGACGTTATGTGGATTGGAAAGATCCAGTTACTGTTCTGCATGGTCTTCTGCTGTGACTTCCAGCCAAGCACAAGCCACACATCCCAGATGCCATCTACTCCTTGCCATTGATGGCCACTCAGAAACGGCCTTCGTCAGTCTCTGCTGGACTGACGCCATGCCTGGCCTAAATGCCTGCTCCATGCCGTCCTCTTCCCCCTGCTGCTCGAGCTCCCTTCCCAGGGTCCAGGGAGGCTCCTCTTGCAGGCGGTGCAGCCGGACTGCTCCTAATGCTAGCCCACGCTGGCAGGTCTGCCTGGCACATGCTGACTGCTGGCCTGGCCTTTTATATGCATATGCAGCTTTAATTATTAGAGGACAAACTACAAGAGAGAGCTTATGCTGCAGTAGCAGTCGTCAGCTAACCCCTCATAGACTTCACAGAGCTTCCAGCTACTAATTGTCCAAGTGATCTCATTAAAGAACTAAAGATAGCTGTGCGGACTGAAATGCTGTGATTTCAGAGGAAAGAACTCAAATCCAGTGAGGCCATGCAAACGCTGGTGAGCAAAGGAGTCCCTTCTGAGGCTTGCTACATAGACCCTTAGCTGTCCTCCTCTCCAGCTCATTGCTCTGTCCCAGTACAGGAGTATTTTCATTCTCTCCTGTCAGTAACTTTTGCAACTCAATAAAGCTGGGTTCTCTCAAAATACTGACAGGAATCTGGCAAGCATCACTGCGTTTAGCCTTTTTTTTTTTTTTTTAATTATCACTTATTTTTGGATCGCCCCATGTCTGAAGTGGAAATTACCAAACAGATTGCGCAGTGTTGTCGTGCACTTTCATTTCTTACCAGGCCAGAAGAAATTGTAATGGCCCTCTACACCAAACCGGGGAACCTCAAAGCTACAGCTCTGCTTACACTTCTGGCTCTGTACGTGCAGGTTGTTACTTGCTTCTCCTGCTGCCTTTTTTTTTTTCTCTTCTCAAAAGAATGGGTGTCTCCTCAAAACCTTCACGTTGCCCCCTCCTTTTTCAGACAGCTCTCTTCTTACCTTCCCAAACACCTGCACCATCATTTTTCTGTGCTAAAAAAGTCAGTTGTAATCCTCTCTAATCCATCCTCCACTGAGTGCAGAACTGATTTGCCAAACCCCTCTTTGCAGTTCTAATCTTTGGGGCTTTTAGTCATCTTTGCCTGATGTGATGATTTCAGGTTTCCTCTTTTCTTTCACCTTTGTGATTATTAGGGCCTCATCTTTCTAGGTACTTTCCAACCTTGTCATTCCTCTCTTATTACTATGAAGTTTCATAAATCATGTGTCAGACCTTTAGCTACCATGTTCTTTTTCATTCATTCATTCATTCATTCATTCATTCATTATAATAGTGCCTTACCAATCATTTTATCTCCTTATCTGCACGGTTTTAAACATTAGTGAAAACCACACGCCAAGAGGATCTGTAAATTACCGCAGCAGCAGTCTGTGAATGCAGGCTTAGAGAGCGCCCTACTGGTGTCGTTCCTGAAATGCAGCCTTGGAAAAACATCTGCACACACACGGAGAAAGTTAAACTTGGGACATTTTAAACAATGATGTTGATAATATCTGTGATTAAGAGTTAGTGGCTACTGCATTTAGCACCTAAGGTAGTAGTAATCATACAGTGGTGCAAGTATCAACTGTTAGATTCATGTTTTTTCCATGTTTTTTCCATGTTAGATTCATGGAAAATCTGCAAACAGAAGTCCAAGAAATGGAATTCATAAAGTTTTCAAAGGGGTTGAATGTCATGAGAAAAGAAGACTTTGCGGAATGGTTACTGTACTTCACTGATGAGGAAAACAACGAAATTTACTGGCAGAATGTGAAGGACAGAATTGAGGCAGGAGAGGTCGGTACATGCTCTGCTTTGCTTCCTCGTTTTACGTACGGGTTTTCGTTTGAATATAAGTGTCTAATGATGTAACTAGTTTCCAAGTGAATTATTGCAGCTTTTGAATTTTATGCAGATAAGAGCAATGATAATTTGCCAACTGAGAAATCCGAATATTGATGATGAGTGAGCAATCACACCTAAACACTAGGTCCCACCAGATTTAATGAAATAGATTCACTGGTGTTATAATGTATTATTCATTATCTGTCACCTGAATTCTGCAATACTCTAGAATATCAGTTTGGAAGAATTCAAGACTTTCTGCAAGTTTACAAACAACCTGGAAGACTTTTCTATTGCCATGCAGATGTTTACTGTCGCCAACCGTCCTGTTAAACGGGGTAAGTGCTGCACACCTTTTTATGCGGTTTTTGAAAAAATTAAACACTTTTTTAATGGAATTAATGTAAATAAGTTATCCCACAGTAGCACTATGAAGTCCCAAAGTAGTATACTCTCTTTATTCTGAATTAATTCTATTTCAAGAAAAAATAATAATATAAAGTTCAAAAAATGTTTTCATTTGTATGTCCTAAGGTGCTATCATATGCTGAACC